AATACAGAGTAAAGATCCCTCTACACTGTACCCATCAAACACTCCCACGATGGGTACAGCACAGAGTTAGATACAGAATAATGTCTCCCTCTACACTGCTCCTATCAAACACTCTAAGTATAGAGACAGCACGGGGTTAGATACAGAGTAAAGCTCCCTTTACAATGTCCCCATGAAACTCTCCCAGGACAAAGACAGCACGGGGTTAGACTCAAAGTAAATGTTGGTGATGTAAAGCTGTGATTTCTTTTGCAGGTTATGAAGAGAGTAGCTGTGTCCCTCGTCCTCAGTGCCCTGCAGAGTGCACCTGCCTGGAGACTGTTGTTCGCTGCAGCAACAAGCACCTGAGATCTCTGCCAAAAGGCATCCCAAAGAATGTAACTGAACTGTGAGTGAGAAGGGATCAAACGGAATTGAGGGAAAAGTGGGAGGAATAGGCTGTAGAACCCTTTGAATCTGTTGCATCACTCAGTACGTTCATGGCTGATCTGGCTGTAGTCTCAGCTCCACACTCCTGTCTGCTTCCTATACTCGGGGTCTCCCTTGGCCATCAAGAGTCTACATCACTCAAGCTTGATGACATTTAAAGAGCCACCCCCATTATCTACTGGGGAAGAGAATTCCTCACTTTGAAGACTCTGAGAGAAAATAATGTCTCATCATGCATGTCCTGATAGGAAAACCTCTTATTCTTAATTCAAGCCTCCCACTGCTGCCTCACAGCGCCAGGGACTTGGGTTCAATTCCAGCCTTGTCAGTGTGGAGTTTGCACATTCTCCCTGTGTCTGCGTGGGTTTATTCCAGGTGCTCCTGTTTCCTCCCACAGTCCAAAGATGTGCAGGTTAGGGTGGATTGGCCATGGGAAATCGCCCATAGTGTTCAGGGATATGTAAGTTAGGTGAATTAGCCATTGGAAATGTGGGGTTATGGGATGGGGTGGTTCTGGGTGGGATGCTCTTCGGAGGGTCAGTGTGGACTCGATGGGCTGAATGGCCTGCTCCTGCACAGTAGGGATTCTATGACTCTATGATAGTTTAGTCTTCACAACAAGAGGAAATATCCTCCTGCCTTCATCCCTCTCCAGTCCCCTCAGGAGTTTACATGTTACATTAAGGTCACCTCTCATTCTTCTGATGGGTAAAGGCCCAGCCTGTTCAATCTTTCTTCTTAAGATGCCCTTCATCCAGTAGCAGCTGTGAAAACTGGAGTCAGTGCTCACTGCCTCGATGTGAGTATATTTACTCCAGGTAAGATCTTATTGCAGTCATCAGGTGTTTTTCCAATTGCAACATCTTCAGCAGTGCTTAACAGTGACTCTGAGACGACACACAATAGAGAACTGCTGAGTGAGAGAGAAAAAGAGAGAAATAAGTTGACCGGGAAAGAAATTTTAATATTACCCTCTCAGCATGACACTGATGTAAGCTGCCTGCATAAACTGATTAGGCAAGAACGTGGCAGAGGGAATATATATTGTGGAAAAATATGAAGCTAGCCACTTTGGTTGGAAGAACAGAAATACAGAGTATTTCTTAAATGATGAGAGTTTTTCAAGTGTTGATGTCTAAAGGGGCCTGGGTGTTCTTGTTCATAAGTCATTGAATGCCGACACGCAGTTCCAGCAAGCGATTAGGAAGTCAAATGGTATGTTCACCCTTTAATACAAGAGGTTTTGAGTACAGGAATAAGCTGCAGTTATATAGAACAATGGTGAGAGTGTACCCTAACACTAATTCAGTTTTGGTCCCCTTACCTAAAGAAGGATTTGCCACAGAGGGAGTGCAGCAGAGGCTCACCAGTTTGAATCCTAGAGTGGTGGCACTGTTCTTTGAGGAGGGATTAAGGAGACTGGGCCTGTATTCTGTGGAGTTCAGAAAAATGAGAGGTGACCTCATTGAAGCATGGAAAATGGTGCTGAGGCTGAAGGACAACCATAGCCTCATTGAATGGGGCAGCAGGCATAAGGGACTGAGTGGTCTACTGCTGCTATTCATTAGGGTTAGTGTTAGCTATTCATTATGTTTTCACTGAATTTGTCAATGTGCGGATTGAGTGACCATACCTCAGGACAAAAATAGAGAGAGAATCAAAGAGACAAAAATAAAGGAATTGCATTTATATAGCAACTTTCATGATATTACGATGCTGCAGTGTACTTCACAGCCAATTAACTGTTGAATGCAGTTATATTATTCCCAAATTCCCAAATTGTGGTATGATTAGACAGAGTCAGCACAGTTTGATAGAGGAGCCTATTTAATTGATATCCACACACATTCAGACTTGTCCAGCTCACTGCAGAGCAAAATTTTAAACTGCTGCCTTCATCGTTTTGCAGCTCAGTAACAACAACTTGCATTTGTGTGATGTCTTTATAATCATAAAACTACTCAACGTGCTTCACTGGTGCACTGTGAAATGACAGTTGACGTTGAGCCGAAGAAGGAAATATTGGGACCAACGGTTAAAAACTTGGTCAAAGAGAGAAAGTTTTAATAGTGTCTTAAAGGGACAGAGAGAGGTTTCCAGAGCTTAGGGCCTCAGCCAGCTGAAGGTACAATCATCAATAGAGGAGCAGTTGGAATTGGAGATACATTAGAGGTCAGAATTTGAGAAATGCAGAAATTCCGGCAGGTTGCAAAGCTTGGGCTGGGATTTTGCAGGGATTTTGAGGGTGTGGGATCAGGAATATTTGTGGGCGGTGGGGATGGGGAGGGTGCTGGTATTGACATACAAGATTGAGAATTTTATAATCAACGGGTTGCTGGAATGAGTACCAAATGTAGATGAGGAATCACCGCCATGGAAGGTTGAATGGGAAGTAGTGCGAGTTCAGATTTTGGAGCAGAGATTTTGAGGATCTCGAGGTTATGGAGAGTGGAAGATGGGGGTTAGTGTGAAGACCAATGGGAAGGTAACAAAGACAGGGATGAGGCTTTTAGCAGTAGATGGATGGTCAGCCAATTGGTGCAATTGTAATTGAATGCAAACCCCATTCCTAAAATTCCACCGGCTCTAATTCTTTCCTTTTACTTCCAGGTACCTGGATGGTAACCAGTTCAGTTCAGTTCCCACCATACTCTACACTTTCAAACATCTACAGCTGGTGTAAGTATCTGGAGGGAGAGCCAGATATAGAGGAAGGGCAGGATGGTGTGATTGGGGCAGGAGGGATGGTACAGAATGGTTTGCCAGGAACAGTCCTAAACACGTGGATTGGGAAATGGGAAGACACCATTTATTCATGATGAACCACTTTAGGAACACTATTTCACATCCACAGGATCCTGTACAATACTGGGTCCTCCCAGGCACTGTAGGGGGCCAGAAGGAAATACCTCCAGAAATGGGTCTGCTCCCAGGGGCAATGAGGTGAATGGGGGCATTCCTGCCTCCACATCATCTTTGTCTCTCCAAGGGTCACCAAGATCCCAAACGGGGATAATGCCTGAGCCTTACTCAGAACTAGGGCCTGCACAATGAAGCTCCTGATGACAAGGGTGCACTTTATGAAGGTGAGACAATTCAGCCCTCATGTTCCTGAAGTGGTGAGCACGCACACCATTCCAGCCCCCTATCTCACACAAAGGAAGATAAATTCAAAACCATTCTACAGCAACAATGAGAGGTATTTCAAGGCAGTAATGTTTGACGGGCCAGCCAGTGTCACCTCTTCTATGGAAGGCTTGCCTGACTTGACATCTGAGCCCCCCACACATCTCTGGCAGACACACAGGCACACGCACACTCTCTCTCTCATAGAACATAGAACATAAAACAGTACAGCACAGTACAGGCCCTTCGGCCCATGATGTTGTGCCGACCTATTATCCTACTAAGCTCAAACTACCCTGCATACTCTACATTATACTATCATCCATGTGCCTATCCAAGAGTCGCTTAAAGGTCTCTAAAGTATCTGACTCCACTACCACTGCTGGCAGCACATTCCACACACCCACCACACTCTGTGTAAAGAACCTACCTCTGACATCTCCCCTATACCTTCCTCCAATCACCTTAAAATTATGCTCCCTCGTAATAGCAATTTCCACCCTGGGAAAAAGTCTCTGGCTATCCACTCTATCTATGCCTCTCATCATCTTGTACACCTCTATCTAGTCACCTCTCATCCTTCTTCGCTCCAATGAAAAAAGCCCTAGCTCCCTCAACCTTTCCTCATAAGACCTGTCCTCCAGTCCAGGTAGCATCCTAGTTAATCTCCTCTGCACCTTCTCTAAAGCTTCCACCTCTTCCCTATAATGAGGCGACCAGAACTGAACACAATATTTCAAGTGTGGTCTAACCAGGGTTTAATAGAGCTGCAGCATAACCTCGCAGCTCTTAAATTCAATTCCCCTGCCAATGAAAGACAACACACCATACGCTTTCTTTACAACCCTATCAACTTGGGTTGCAACTTTGAGGGATTTATGGACATGGACCCCAAGATCTCTCTGTTTCTCCACACTGCCAAGAATCCTGCCATTAACCCTGTATTCTGCATTCAAATTCAACCTTCCAAAATTAATCACTTCACACTTTTCTGGGTTGAATTCCATCTGCCATTTCTTTGCCCAGCCCCTCATCCTGCCAATGTCCCGTTGCAACCTACAACAGCCCTCCACATTATCCACAACTCCACCAACCTTCATGTCATCGGCAAATGTACTAACCCACCCTTCCACTTCCTTATCCAAATCATTTATAAAGATCACAAACAGCAGAGGCCCCAGAACAGATCCCTGCAGAGCACCACTGGCCACCGAGCTCCAGGTTGAATACTTTCCATCTACTACCACCCTCTGTCTTCTATTGGACAGCCAGTTTTGTATCCAGACAGCCAAATTTCCCTGAATCCCATGCCTCCTTACTTTAGCTCTTTCTCACACACACACAAACACACACACACTCTCTCTCTCTCTCTCACACACACACACACACTCTCTCTCTCTCTCTC